AAACAAGAATGGAGTACATGGGAGGACACCACGGAGGAAGCCATTGCTGTCCAAAAAGAATATTGCAGCACGTTTGAAGTTTGCAAAAGAACACCTGGATGTTCCACAGCACTACTGGCAAAATATACTGTGGACAGATGAAACCAAGATTGAGTTGTTTGGGAAGAACACACAACACTATGTGTGGAGAAAAAAAGGCACAGCACACCAACATCAAAACCTCATCCCCACTGTAAAACATGGCGGAGGGAGCATCATGGTTTGGGGCTGCTTTGCTGCCTTAGGGCCTGGACGGATTGTTGTCATTGATGGGAAAATGATTCCAGAGTTTATCAAGACATTTTGCAGGAAAACGTACGACCATCTGTCCGCCAACTGAAGCTCCGCAGAGGATGGGTGATGCAACAGGACAATGACCCAAAGCATACAAGTAATTCAACAAAACAATGGCTGCAACAGCACAGAATACGCCTTCTGGAGTGGCCCAGTCAGAGTCCTGACCTCATCCCGATTGAAATGCTGCGGCATGACCTTAAGAGAGCGATTCACACCAGACATCCCAATAATATTGCTACACTGAAACAGTTTTGTGAAGAGGAGTGGTCCAAAATTTACTCCAGATCGTTGTGCAGGTCTGATCTGCAACTACAGGAAACGTTTGGTTGAGGTTACTGCTGCCAAAGGAGGGTCAACCAGTTATTAAGTCCAAAGGTTCACATACTTTTCCACCCTGCACTGTGAATGTTTACATGTTATGTGCAATTAAACCATGGCAACATCTAATGTTTGTGTAGTATTATGTTCAGCAGACTGTGTTCTTCTATTGTTGTGACTTAGATGATGTTCAGAGCACGTTTTATGCCCAATTCATGCAAAACTCCACGTAATCCCAAGGGGTTCACATACTTTTTCTTGCAACTGTATGTTGCCCTACTCTGGGCTCTCTCCAGTTCCAGCACCGCCCTCCCGAGGACTGGTGACCAGAACTGGACAGAATATTCCAGATGCGGCCAAACCATAGTTTTTTTCTCTTGAGCAAAATTCCCTTTTTAATGCATGCTAATATTTTGCTTGCTGCAGCTTGCTGCAACTTGGTATTCCATGCCATTGCTGAACCTGTCATCTACTAGGACCACCAGATCTTTTTCCATCATGGATTCCCCCAGAGGTTCTCCTACTAGCCAGTAATTTGTGTTCATATTTTTAGCCCCCAGGTGATTACTTAAAATTTTTCAACATTAAACTTAATTTGCCATGTACTTACTCACCCTATTATTTTAATGAGGTTTTCTGGTAAAGTTTCTAAATCTTGTGAAATTATTGTCCTACTTAGCTTTGTATCATCAGTAAATACTGACACTGAGCTATGTATTATTATTATTATTATACAGGATTTATATAGCGCCAACAGTTTGCTCAGCGCTTTACAATATAACGGGAGACAATACAGCAACAATACAGTTCAATACAAGAGGGTTAGGATACCAACCTCTATAGCATTTATGAAAAATTTAAACAATTGGCCCCAAGTCAGAGCCTTGTGGTACCCCACTTACCAATTTAGTCAAGTTCTGAGCTCTCGCTATTTATCACCACCCGTTGGATGTGTCCCTGTTACCAGTTTTCTATCCATGAACAAACCCTGTGGTCCATGCCTATAGAACTTAGTTTGAAAATTAAACATTTATGTGGAACTGTATCAAAAGCTTTTGTAAAATATAGATACACCACATCCACCGCCCTTCCTTTGTCTAGATGGCTGCTCACTTCCTCATAGAATGTTAACAGATTGGTTTGGCAAGAAAGACCTTACGTAAATCCATGCTGATTACTATTAATCATACTGTTTTCTTTAGCAAATTCTTGGATATAGTCCCTTATCATCCTTTCAATTAGTTTACATACTATTGATGTTAGACTTACTGGTCTGTAGTTCCCAGGTATATGTCTCTGTCCTTTTTTGAATAGTGGTACTACGTGGGCCCTTCGTCATTCAGTTGGTACTATTCCTGTCAGTATGCTGTACATAAAAATTAGTTATAGCGGTCTGGCAATAACCTGACTGAGTTCTTTGAGGACTATTGGGTGGAAGCCATCTGGTCCTGGTGATTTATTCGTGTTGAGATTTTCTAGTTTTTTTCAGACATTGTCTTCTGTTGGCTACAACGGTACAGTCTGTGGTGTGTTACTAATGATACCGTCCTTTTTTCTATACCCCTCCTTTTCCTTTGTAAAAAACTGTATTCAATACAGTTGTCTTCTTCTTGTTGGTTACACCATCCTCCACCATCCTTTAGGCTACGTTCACACTAGCCTTGTGTGCAGGCGGCAGAGAGGCGTTTGGGAAGCGTTTTTACCGCTTCCCAAACGCCTCTGCCAATTCTGCACATTACAGCACATGGTGCTGTTCTAACGGGAGCGTTTGCGTCGCGTCGCGTTGCGTCGCGGCAAAACGACGCCTCTGGACGAGTCAGGAGGCTTTGAAGCCTCCTATTCTCGTCTATGGTGCCGCTCTGCAAACGCCCGGCCGGTGTTTGCGGTGCGGTTGCGACGCGGTTGCGGGGGGAGTTTGCGGAGCGGTAACACCACTCAAACTGCATTATAGGCGTTTGTGGGGGGCGTTATTAACGCTCGGCAAACGCCTAGCAACCGCCGCTAAACCGCGCATGCGGCGTTTGCGGAGCGTTTGCCGATCGTTAAAAAACGCTCCGCAAACGCCGGACCAACGCTTGCCAAACGCTATAGGGGCGTTTGGCAAGCGTTGGCAAAACAGCCTAGTGTGAACGAGCCCTTAGGGGGCCAATATTTTCAGACCTCTCATTTTTACCATTATTATATTAAAAAAGGTTCTTGGAATTCTTTTTACTCTCCTCTGCTATGCGCCTCTTGTAGTCTATTTTAGACCCTGATTGCTCACTTACACTTTTTATTGCATTCCTTGTAGTAGTGGAATGCTGACAATGGCCCCTCTGCCTTGTATTCCTTGAATTCCTTGTATTCTTTTCTCTTTAATAAGTCCTTTTATGTTATAGTTTGGCCACCCGGGTTTAACCTTTACTCTTTTATATTTATTGCCCAATGAAATACACTGGATAATACCTTTATTTAATTTTTTCCTAAAGTATTCCCATTTTTCCTCAGTGATGACACTGCCCTGCCTTGCTGCCATTTCTAACTGTGATTAGAGATCCAAATCCTCTTTACCCTTCAGGTTAGGGGGCCTGTAGCATATCCCCACTATTATTTTTCCGCATGACTCTTCCCTTTGGAGTTCCACCCACAGGGATTCAACCTCAGCCCGCAACCCATTTGTAATGTTGTCCCTCACGTTTACTAACAAATCATTTTTAATATACAATCAAACCCATCCTCCTCTTCTACCTTCTCTGTCCCTCCGATACAAGGAATTCCCCTGGAAAGATGCTGACCATTCATGTGAGCTATCAAACCAAGTTTCTAAAATTTTCATATGAAGTCAAAATCCTCATCGTGTATTAGCAGCTCCAGTTCCTCCATTTTGTTAGCTAAACTTCTAGCATTTATGTAAATGCATTTTTTGTACCAGCTCGTATTTTTACCTTCTTAGTTTTTTTTTGTGTCTGTGAATATGCTTTGCCATGCAACATACCCCCCAGGTTTATGCATTATGGTTATAACACAGTCTGACCTTCGCTTGCTGATGGTTATTGCTTCCTCTGATCCCTCCCCCCACCACCTAGTTTAAAAGCCCCTCCAACTTTTTGGCCATCCCCCCCCCCCCCCCCCCAACAGAGCTGTACCCTTCCTATTAAGGTGCAGTCTGTCCCTACTATAGAGCTGGTATCTGACTGAAAAATCAGCCCAGTTCCCTAGGAACCCAAACCCCTCTTTCCTGCACCAATTTCTTAGCCAGGTAATTTCTCTTAGCTTCTGCTGCCTCTCTGGTGTGGCTCGAGGTACAGGCAGTATGTCTGAGAATACCACCTTGGGGGTCCTCTTCTTCAATATAGCCATTAAGTCCTTGAATTTATTTTTTAGGACACTCCACCTTCCTCTAACTATCTTTGGTACGAATGTGTACTGTGATAGCTGGGTCCTCCCCAACCCTACCCAACAATCTGTCCATCCGATCTGCGATATGCCGCGATATACCCGGTAAACAACATACCATTCAGCGATCAGTCTTTGTGACAGATTGCCCTATCTGGTCTCCCAATAATTGAGTCCCCTACCAACAGTATCTGCCTAGCCTACCTGTATCCTTGCCCCTTCTTTACTAGAGTAGTCATTTCCCTGGCAGCTAGAGGAGGGAGTCTGTTCCGGCCGTGCCACCCCTGAGCTGATAACCCCAACATCATGCAACTTAACATATTTATTGGGATGTATCAACTCAGGACTGGCCTCCCTAGGGCTCTTCCCTCTGCCCCTCCTTCAGACTGTCATCCAGCTACCTACATCTGGCTCCTGAACCTCTATATCCCCCCACCCCTCTATGCTGGCTCCCGCCAGCATCTGCTGGCTAATGTCCAAGCTCCTTTCCTAGTTGCTGATGCTTCGCAGTGTTGCCACCTGATTCTCTAGATTCAAGATCTGGGCTTTCAGACATTAGACAATGTAAATACATCTAAGTATAGGAAAAAGAAGAAAGAAAGGAAGAAACTGCAAATAAAACATCACAAAATATAACATCTCCCTCTGTACTGCTTTTTTTGTGTTTCCTATCAGGGATAAAGATAGCAATAAAAACACTATATCTAGAAGACAGAGGGAGTATAGGTACCTATGTCTTGTTTTTACATGTTTTTATTGTTTGTGTCTCCATTGGGGGGATTCCCTGATTTAGTGTCAAGTGTTACCAGTTCAGAAAGTGAGGGAGAATTTTCACAGTAAGGTCAATGGCAGCAAGTCCTAACCCTTCGTTAACCCTTCTGTACTCAATCTAAAAGTAAGGAGAATCACGTCTGGCTTAAGTTCTACTTTAACCTCCCTGGCTGGTATTCCCGAGTGTAGCTCGGGGTAAAATTTCAGTACCAAAAGCGGTAACCCTGATCTACACTCGGGCTTACCATGCAGTGCTGCATAGGGAGTCCCTGCAGCACTTACCTTGTCCTTTGCTCCCGTGATGCGTCCCCTGCAGCGTCCCCGGCCATCTCCTCCGGCAGATGCTGGCATCCAGCTTCTGTGTTCCGGTCCCTGTGACGTCGGGACGTACGGGCGCCGCTGGCGGCGGGAAATTTGAAAATTTTAAAAAAATGTCATTTTTTTCAAAACGATTTTACATAGTAAAACATTGCTGTTTCAACCCATTTCACATACATTTTGTCCCGAGTGCTCTGTCCTGTCCCCTGCCTGCATTTTGAATGTTCTTTCTGCCTGGAAACTTAGAAAAGTCCATGGCGTCCAAAAAGTGTCCCTTTAGGTCAAAAGCGGGTTTAGATCAGCTAGAGAACAGCGATAGTAAATCAGAACCACTTGCAGAATTGAGTGATAATGATTCGTGGGGGAAATTCGTCATCAGACACTGAAAACAATTTTGCGACTTTGCTCAGTGATGTGCGAACTTGGCGCTCTATTTCAAATTTCAGTGTTTTTGGTTTGATTATATTATTGAATTAAATGTAATATTATTATATTATTATTTTTTTTTTATGATTATTTATTAAATTATAATTTATGATTTCGTGTTTCAAATTTTATCCTACCCGGGATGTTTACTAGACTCTTGTTCGGACAGATTTCAGTGAGTTATTCCTAAATTACAGCCTACAATAAAAAACTACATATTTCCATGCAAAATAATGGTACCGCTTTCAGCACCAAAAATCTGAAATAATCAGACCGCCAGGGAGGTTAAAGCATATCAAGGGCTGTGCTAATGCAAATTATTTAATGGAACTCTCAAACTGCAGAATTCAATTACAATATACATTAAAACGTAACAGACTGACATTTTCTTAAACCTGTCAACTGAACTAAATGCACACTATCTTGTTTTTATGGGCGGAAATACTGAATGCTTTGTTATGGCTCAACTTGGTTGCAGATGGGCTCTTACTTTGGCTCCTCCTTATGTGCAGTTGATCTCAATGCTGATGGCCTATCAGACCTCTTGGTGGGGGCACCCATGTTCTCAGAGGTGATGGATGAAGGACAAGTGACTGTTTACATCAACAGAGGAAATGTAAGTACACCTTATACAAAACAGTAATAAAATGATAATGTGTCTTAACAGTACACTGGGGGATTTACTAAAACTGGTGCGTACAAAATCTGGTGCAGTTCTGTGTAGAAACCAATCAGCTTTCAGGTTTTATTGTCAAAGCTTAATTGAACAAGCTGGAAGCTGACTGGTTACTATGCACGGTTGCCCCAGATTCTGAGTGCTCCAGTTTTAGTAAATCTCCACTGGATGATAGTGCTATGATAGTGTAAAAAAGCAAACAGTATTTGCTTTAAAGTAGAAATTAAAACAAAGAGATAAATATGCTATCGCAATGTATATATGTTTACTGTTTTACCTGCCAAAAAAAAGTGTGATTTTCTGTAGTCACACAGTGGGTGAATTTCACTATTTAAAAACATTTCTTTACTTATTGTTTGGTGCTGTGTGTTTCCTACATTGACCCTTCAGATATATGTATAGCTCACGCTAGAAATGATTTGTGTATAAAAACCAAGAGCTGCAGTGTCACTAATAGAATGTGTTAATTGTTTTATTATTATTATTATTATTATTATTATTATTATTACATCGAGTTTATATAGCGCCAAAGGGTTTGCTCAGCGATGTACAATAGAGGGGGGAACAATACATGGCACAGTACAACAACAATAACAAACAACGTACGAGGGGTAAGAGGGCCCTACTCTTTCGAGCTTACAATCTAGGAGGGAGGGGGTAGTGGTACAGTAGGAAGTGGTTGAGGGGAATGAGGGGTGGGAGGAATGAGGGGAATGGCCGTTAGGTGAGTGTGGGGTAGGCTTCCCTGAAGAGATGGGTTTTGAGGGAGCGCCTGAATGTGAGGAGGGAAGGCGACAGTCTGATGGATTGGGGCAGTGAGTTCCAGAGGATGGGGGAGGACCTGGAGAAGTCTTGCAGTCGTGCATGGGAGGAGGAGACCAGGGAGCAAGATAGAAGGAGGTCCTGTGAGGAGCGAAGGGTACGGGTAGGGTGGTACCTGGGAATCAGGTTGGTGAGGTAGTCAGGGGCAGTGTTGTAAACGGCTTTGTAGGTCAGGGTTAGAAGTTTAAATTTGATGCGTTGGGCAATCGGGAGCCAGTGGAGGGAGAGGCAGAGGGGGGGTGGCAGAGGTGGAACGGTTGGTGAGGTGGATGAGTCTAGCCGCTGAGTTCAGGATGGTCTGAAGCGGGGAGACACTTTAAAAGGACATCAGCTGGGCTTCACATTTTCCAGACATACTGTAGCTTTTACACTCTCATTTCCTTGTTGTTGATTTCCTTTGACATAAATCTGTTTGACTTGCACACATTTAGTCATTTCCTAGAGACTTTGTAAGTCAGTATTATATATGGCAGAGTTTCAGTAGTTTGTGTTTTCTTTTGTATGGGAATTCCTTCAAATGTAAAAAAACCTCAAATCCTAAACATTCATGGGACCTATATGCCAGTTGGATGCAGATCATATTTAGCTAACTGTGTAATTTGTTTACAAAAATCTATTTTATAGTATCTATAAGGGCTCATGTACTTACCCCTCTTAGCCCAGCACATTCCTCGGACAGGGTTTCTACATTTGCCACAGCAAAAACGATACCCACTGTCGCATTTGGTGGGCAGTACCTCCACCAAAAATTGCCTATTTAATGGGATGGAGGTGTGCTGCAACCACAAGCTGTGAAATATTTAGTAGCAAGGAAATTTCACTAATGGACTTATTGCACAGGTGGCAACCTATCATGGTACCACGCTTGAATTCACTGAGCTCCTGAGAGCGACCCATTTTTTCACAAATGGTTGTAGAAGCAGTCTGCATGCCTAGGTGCTTGATTGATTGTATACACCTGTGGCCATGGAGGTGATTGGAACACCTGAATCCAATGATTTGGAGGGGTGTCCCAATACTTTTGGCAACATAGTGTAGTCTGCTTTACAATACTGTAATCTTAAAAAATTTTTAAGGTGTGAATCCCTCAAAAAAAATGTGCTATGAATTTATAACTGCAAATTGTCGAATCAAAAAACATGTGCAAATACCTCATAACATGCTGCCACATTGAATTAATTAAACAAATGAAATATTATTTTAAAAAATAAATAAAATATCGATGCGGCACTTACACTCAAACAAATGATTTTCAAAATAAACAAACACATAAATAGTCCAAATGATTCAGTCCATTCTTGTGATCACCACGTGGAAATAATTCATAATCATATATCACTTCGATCCTCCAACAATCACCACGTGAATAATTGTGAAACAAAATAAAACTGTGCCGTGCTCCCCTCTCAGGTGTGCACTTACCAAATATAATTGCCTTCCATTCTCAAGGTTGGCATACTGAGCCTTTGGATATAAAATTCTCCAAGAAACAGACCCCCTTCAAAACACAGAGTAGATTCCTCCAATGATGACTCCCAATCTCCAAGGTATAAGGCAATGACTCTCTCCAATGCTCCAAACAAACATCTCATAGAAGATAAAAAATAGAGACCCCACATGGTGCAGTACTTCCTAAAATCTTTTATTCTCCACCTGAGAATACTACTTACAAGAAGTATGACAAAAATCAACCCCAAAGATGTATGTGTCTTGGTTAGTCAGAGAGGAAAGACCGAACAATGCCCTCATCACTGCCGTTCCTCGCTCTCAAACGTTCCCTCGTCACTTCCGGTTCCGATTGTCGTCACTTCCGATCGCCGCACAACCAATCCCTGATGCGTTTTTTGAAAAAAGGAAGAAATTTCACCTAAATCTACTAATTTCTTTAAGATGTAATTCCATAAGTAATGATCATATTTAAACATCGTTGGGCTTAAATGACAAATCACAATATTAATAACAAATATTTATTTCATAATCAAAAATTATTTAACATAAAATATTAAAATCAATAACTAAGAGTTTTACAATATATTGTTTAATTAATAGTATTAAAAGAAAAAATAAAATAATATTATCATTTTAATCTTAATAAAGAGACAATAAAAATAGAAAAAGTTGAGAAAATGAAAATGAGAAAATATAATTCACTAAAAAAAAAAACAAATGAATGTATGATGCTTAATGTCACCTCCATGAAAGAATCCAGTGATATTATTTTATATTGTAAAGCGCTGAGCAAACTGTTGGCGCTATATAAATCCTGTATAATAATAATATTATTCTATAAACTGCTCCATATATAGATTAAATTATTTTATGTGGTTATATTACGCATCACTTATAAAGCAGTATATATCTAGTTCCACATTTAAGCCCCCTGGTGTCAATGATTTAAGGAGAAAAATCCATTTAGCCTCCCTTTGTAAAAGGTCCCTAACTCTATTAGATCCCCTCCATTTAAGGGGAATCCAATGTACCCCCCAAAACTTTAATACAGAAGGATCTTTTTGATGGTACTTTGCGAAATGTTCAAAATACATTGTGATGTTTAACCATTTCAATATCGGGCATTTTTACACCTTCCTGCCCAGGCCAGTTTTCAGGTTTCAGCGCTCTCACACTTTGAATGACAATTGCGCGGTCATACAACATTGTACCCAAACTAAAATTTTATCATTTTCTTCACACAACTAGAGCTTTCTTTTGGTGGTATTTAATCACCGCTGGGGTTTTTATTTTTTGCTAAATTAACAAAAAAAGACCGAAAATTTTGAAAAAAAAACACGTTTTTCTTTATTTCTGTTATAAAAGTTTGCAAATAAATAATTGTTCTTCATAAATTTAGGCCGAGATGTATTCTGCTACATGTCTTTGGTGAAAATAACCCAAATTAGGATGTATGTTTTAGTTTGTAGGAAAGTTATAGAGTTCACAAACTATAGTATAGATCTGAATATTGATCAATCCTGAAGTACTGACCGCCAATCTAATTTCTTGAAGTCCAAGAATGTCAGAATAGTACAGATATCCCCCCAAATGACCCCTTTTTGCAAAGTAGACAGTCCGACGTACTTCATAAGAGGCATGGCGAGTTTTTTGAAGTTGTATTTTTTTCGGAAAATGAAAAAATAAAATAAATTATTTTGACTCTTTTTTTTTTTTTACTACATACTGTCACCAGTGCAGTACAGCGTCATCATATAACTGGCATGGCGGTGATCAGGGACACTGACTGGTGACAGTGTGAAAAATTTTTTTTATTTTTTCTTTATTATTTTAAATTTTTTATTACATTTTTTTTTTTA